CAGTTCCTCATCTGCTAAATGGGAATACCAACTTTTTGCAGACTTCCTGTAACTAGATAAGGAATAGCTATAACTCCCAGGTGAAATGGGATACTAGTAGCTTCACTCTCTTAATGTTAAGGAAGTATAACTTAAGTTATAAAGTACACTTGTCTGTCTTCCTCATTATATTCTAAAATCCACTGAAGACCAGATGGGTATCTTTTTAACTTGAAGCCAGTATTTAAACACAGACACAAAGGCCAGTAGTTAAAGAATGTTTAGTGAATGCATTGCTGATGATCACATCGAATAGCAGAATTGTAGAACACAGGTTTTCTTTACCCTAAACTCATGTTGTATAGAATGAAGGGGGACTAGGCCTCAAATCATACATAGAATGATGAGAATTAGGAATATTAACTTAAGGCAGGTGACACTAGTGAGGAGTATGGTAGCCTGCATCTTTGTAACAGAACATTCTGCTTGTATCTATTTGCCTGCTAATGGTGGGTTGGGAAAGTATGGTGAGCAAAGGGTTAAAAAGTAGAAGTTCCCAACTTTTGCAGTACATCCAAATTACCTGGGAATCTGTAAATCTACTGATACATGGCTCCTACAATATTCTGAGTTAACTGGAATGGGATGCTACCAGAATACCAGAAGTTTTAAAAGCTCCTTTAGTGATCCTAATTGCAACTAAGTTTGGCAATCACTGGGTTAAAGTCAATGAAATTGTTCATGATCTCATTTGCACTGTTACACATCCCTCGGTGTATTGCCTCTGCTACTGTCCTCAACTAGAAATCTGAGATAGAGCACCCAAATGAAGCCTCCCAACAATCTTTGCATTAGAGAACATGACTCTCTGGGACACATTAGAGCACATGACCCTCCCTTTACCCCTTTCTGACCTCCTCTCCTCTGCTTTGAAGTTGGCCTTTGTCTCTCCAGTTCCACAGTATCCTAGCAGAGACCCTGGGGCCAAGTTTGCAGGTTTGTAAATAAGCCTTTCAAAGGCTTTGTCACCCCAGCTGTGTCTGGATCTAGAGCTTTTGAGTTTCATATTTCTCTTCATTTGCACTATCAATACTGATCAGTTACTCCTAGGATGCCAATTCCCCCAACTGCTCTACTGGTTCCTGAACTTCACCATCCTAAACTTCATCCTGAAGTTCAGTGTGGCAAAAGGGAAAATTACAAATTTCTTGGCATGGACTCTTAGTTCTCCAGGTTCCTCCATCGGCTCTTGGTCACTATCTCTATTAGTCAATATCCTACATAGCTATATGTACCACAAATGCCAAGTTTCTTTATGAAATCTTTCCTGATCGCAATCAGATGTGATTTCTCAACTGAGCCCCCATAAAACTTACCTAATCCAGCTTCAGCAAGTCCAGTTCAAAGATATTCTATTTAAGAATTATTTAATTAAATTCCATCGACACAGCCTTACTACCACTGTGACCTCGAGTGAGCTGCTTAAACTTTCTGAGGTAAAAGGGCATTTATAAAATTTTCTTTGCAAGGGAAATTAGATACAATGTATGTAAAGAATCTAACTCAGTGGCTGGTACACATTAGACATGTGATTAACAGCTATTTTCTTTTTTTTTATGGGCCACATCCTATTTCACTGTACACTATAGTTATTTAATGACTTCTTTGAATTTTTTTGCATGATGAATTCCATTAAGATGTGAACTGCATGTATCTTCCTCATTTTTTAATAATCTGTAGTAAAAACATATGCATTTAAGAGGTATTTATTCACAATTACTTTATTTAGATTAAAGAAATATTTAAGAGTGTGACCTAATGTTTATTTTTGACTCACATAGTAACATTTTCCTAGACTATGGGCAAGGCAGTATATATAGGAATTCCACATAGGTGGCATTCAAATATACTTGAATAGTTTAAGGTACATGCAGTGGGATGACACTTATTCTATGCAGATAGCTGTCAGAGAGGAAAGGATTAAAACCAGGCTGGGGTGGTGAAAGCAATTTTTTTACAGGGAGCTGTCCCCCCATTCAGCTGTCATACCAGCTACCTCTGGCTCTGTACTTGCAGTCAGTCATTCAGTGCTGCACAGCCTGGGAGTGCATGGACAGTGCATGGATAAAAAAGGAACCCAGAAAGGGTCAGAGGGCATGTACTCCATTCTGTAATGACTTCAACTCACACATTATGTAAAAGTTAGGAAACTAATATCTTCACAAACTACTTGTTCTAAGATTAAAAATGTAACTGTATAATATAACTTTGCCAAAGGGGACCTCCACTCGGATGAATAGATAAGGACTTTCCCCCACAATTCCAATAATAAATAAATGAATCAGTGAAAGGTATGTATATTCCTAAAATTAAGAAAAAAAAGTCTTAAAACAAATCTTAGCTGATAAGTGTGTGGAAAAAGTATTTATGAAATTAAAAGTTGTGAGACTATTCTAAAGACCTAGCAAAAATGACCTGCTTCAATCTGACTCACTTTCTAGCATTTGTTGCACAATTCCCACTTTCGTGGAAGGTAGCTGATTATATATCATCTTTGCTTTGTGGAGAGTGATGTTCAAATTTGATCCTAATCACTGGTTTTAAGACTTAGAATTTTTATAAGCTGTATAACTTTGGTAAAGTAAGGCTTCAGTTCTGAGTACCATACAAGTAACTCACATGATATACATTTGCCAATATATCTAAGATTTTCTCTGTTCAGAGTGATATTCTAATTACAGTATTATAATCCAAAAATGTCTACCTAGAATTCTTAATTATTTGTTCCAAGATTGCAAATGCATATACAATGTAATATAGGTACTTTAAAGAGTTAATCTTTCATTGCAAATGTAGAGGAATAGCTATAATACTAGGAAAACCTTTGATGGACTATGATGTGTAAAAAAAAAAAAAGTACCTCAGTTGTATGGGCAATCTTACATAGCCTCTAGAAAAAGGGAATGAAAACTAACATAATGAGTTAACTTGCACACCGGAATGGAAAGAAAGTTTAGAATTTAAAAGTTCTTTTCAACCCTATTCTTTAAAATTTTAAAGTCTATCTACAAATAATTTGATGGGCATAAATGTTTGTCCTAGTCAGTTCTATACAAATACACATTTTAATTTTAAACCTTTCCTCACTGGCATTTTTGAATGTTGACCTTTAAATATTTTGTTAAAATTAATTTTTTAAAAATCATAGTCCTATTTAACACCTCCAAAGGTACATACATTATCATATTCCTTCACTACAATGAAAAACTACGGGTTGGGCGGGGGTGGGGGACACCTTGAAATCTAGAATGAGCGGGGACGGTGTTCATCTTTGGTATCAGGCGCCTCACTTTTTCAGCAAAGCCCTACTCACTACTAACTCCTTCGCTTTACTCTGAGCTGAAAGTGTATATATACTCAGGCCGCCAGTTCGGGGAAGCCCTTCGTGGCCAATCAGGGCTTCCAGATCTATTACGTCACACCTTCCCCATGGGTGTGACGTCACAGGCAATCCCAGGCCAGACACGTGGGTTGGAGGAGTGTAGCGTTTCAGGGCAGCTGCTCCAGAGACACCCGGCAGCCAAGCTCCCCAGGGGCCGTGGACTGGGCAGGATGGGGCCGCCGGGGCTCTAGCAACCCGCAGCAGCGCGGTCGCACCGTAGGCCCAGCACTCCGCGCCAGCATCTGGGGGTGGCGGGAGCGCGCTACAGGCAGCTGGCACCTCCGGCTGTGTAACAGGACCCGGGTGTCTTAAGCGTCCTCCCCAGGCACCGCCTCTCCGCTCCCAACCCCTTTCCAGCCCTAATGATCCTTTTCAGCGCCGTTTCCCCGGCCGGAGGAACAAGCCGCTCTGGCCTCCCGGTTTCGCCCTCACACAGACCCTCCTTTCAGGCCCGCCCTCCGGTTCGCAGGGACCCATTTCGGAGCCCTCGCTCACTCTGGGCGGGAACCGTGTGACGAATTCCGCCCAAGGTGCTGACTACCCATCCCAACCCGGCCCCTGGTCGCCTCCCAGCGGGGGCCCCGCCCCCGCCCCCACCTCCGGGCCGGGCGCTTGGACGGCACCCCCAAACCCCCACCCGGCCGTGCCCCGCGCTGCAGCTGCGGAAAGCAGCGCCGGCGTGCTCGATGCCACGTCGGAATTGGCTCCCGGGACATCGCAGCTGCCTGCACGCAGCTCGGTCCCCACGGACGCCCTGCCCTGGGCGGCGCGCAGCGGAGGGATGCGCGCCCTCCTCCCCTGGGGTCCGCCGGTAGCCTGGCCTGCGTCAGGGACCCCCGGGCCGGAGTAAGGCTTCCGGAGCCGGGCTGAGCCCGGACAGACCCAGTCTGACACATTTAACGGGCTACAGGGAGTGCAAAGGAAGGGAAGCCGGAGAAAGAGTGGGAGTGGCCGAGCGAGGCGGGTAGCGGCGAGGTGGTGGCCCGAGTCTCCTCCTTCGGGGTCCCGCTCGCTTCAACCTCGATGTGGGCGCCCAGCTCACTTTAATCCTTTGAATTCTTAGTAAGAAGCGGGCTTCCCACTTTGAAGTAAAACGCCCTGGGCTGTTGCAGAGACTTCCACCGCGCAGAGAATGAGGCGGTGGGAGGAAGGTGGGAAGAGACAGGAAGGTAAGGGGGATGGGGGCGGCTGAGAGGAATGCATTTTCCCTACACAGTGCAAGTTCTTGTTTCCTAACTCGGGAGCCCCTCTGCGGCTCCGTAAGATGTGGCGTGGAAAAGTACATCCCCAGACGCGCAGACTTTCCCAGGCAGAGAGGTTACCTGTGTTCCCAGAAAGGCCGCGGGTTTCTGGCGAGCGCCGCAGGGATGGGAAAAGACAGAGATACATTGCTAACCCTGACAGTGATATGAAATGTACCCTGACTTTCAGTCTGTTAGAAATTTCCAGGCCTTAAACTTTTCTGTCGAAAACTGACTTAAAAAAAATTTTTTTAAACACTTATGTAGGATAAAATCCCTCTCCCTGGCCTTGACTCGAGCACCCACATCATTCACCGAACCGCGCCAGTGTAACGTACCTTGTTCAGCTCTTGGTCATAAAGTTGTCTTCAGCCTGTCTGTGTGGTCCCGGAGGGTCGGTGGCGGGCAGTTTCCAAAATTGAGGTAATAAGAGATCAGATGAACTTGAGACGACCGGCCAAAAAAAATAAAAAATTTAAAAACAACATTTAAAAAGGATGGGGGAGTCTTAAATGTTTGGTTCTCCCCCACTTTGAAAGGAAATTTTAATACTGTTCTTGTTAATATTTCCGTTGCACTTCAACCTTCTAGTTCTTAAAATTTGTGCTTTAAAAATAAGTTAACTTTATTATTATTGCTATTTTTACTATTATTTTTNAAAAAAAAAAAAAAAAAGCCTGGTGAAGACTCAGCAGAACCCAGAAAGCGCAGAATCGGGAGAAAGTCTTTGGCTGGGGCTGGTTCAAGTCCCTGGTTCAAAGGGCTGCTGGAAGCCAGGACTGGGTAATTCTTTCCAGACGTCTTGACTTCTCCTTCCTCGCAGTTGTTGCCTTTCTGCCTCCTCCAACTTAAGGGGGTCTTAACAAGTGAGCTGGTGGGTGTTTTAATAGGGCGGAGGAGGGGTGGGGGGTGAGGGGAGTGGAGAAGGGAGGTGCGGACTGGGGAACCCGGAGGGGAGGGAGGGAGCTGAGAGCGCGGGCGGGCGACCGGGAGGCGGGGAGGGGGAGAGGGAGAAAGAGAAATTGGCCATTCAAAGCCCTCTCTGAGCTACAGGCCGGTTCTAAACTCCAATGAATTCAATTAACTTGATTGCTAACGTGTGCAGAGAAATGCAGTGCACACACGCTGGCCACCACCTGATTCCCTTTTCCTCCAGCGGTGGAGCCGGGAGGCCACGCTTTGTCGGCATCCCTGTACTCCGCAGTTAAAAGGATTCCCCTTTGCGATCAACTCCCGCGCTGTTTAAGTAATTTGCTTTAAGGCCAAATGGTGCCCTTAGGCTAAGTAACCGCCCTCGAGAGAGGTAGCTAGGATGCGTGTGCGTACGTACTCCCAGAGGCTCCCAAAGCCCGCGGCGACTCCTAAAAAAGTCAGCAACAGGTCTACCGCTTGTTAACCCTTTCTTCCCACCAACTCAAACTGTTAGAAAGCTGACGTCATGTCAAAGTGCCCCTTACACAGAAGCTTCTGCTTCGGGTGGGCGAGAACAGGAGAAAGGTTTTTTTTCTTAACCTGGTCGCCTAACGTAAAAATACGCCAACAGCGCGCTTTACTATAAAATAAAATAAAATAAAATAAAATAAAATAAAATAAAATAAAATAAAATAAAAATCGTGCTCTGGAGGACTGGAAAAAGCGCGCTTTAAAAAAGCATTTCTAAGGGAATAGCTTAAATGCCTTTTGCTTCTCGCTAACCTTCTAAGAAGATAACGAGTCAAAATGCTTTAATTTTTTGCTTAGACTTTACCTTTTCTCATCTTTCTTCAATTCCCCCAGACCGGGAAGACTTAGCTTTCTGATTAATTTTCCCCTCCTTTCTTTCCCCGCTCCTTGCCAACAAGCCGCTTGATGACTTAAAATGGACAGTAGGTGGCACTCTTTAGGAAAAAATGAGAGTAAGTTTACAAAGTAACTGATTTGGTCTTCGGAGATTCCGCTGAAATTATTATAGGGTAAAAGATTTATTTTCTTTCTTTTCCTTCCAACGTTCCTCTGAGGTGTGGACTTCTTTCAAACTCGACTAGGCTTTGAAAACTGGTTCTTGCACCTGACGGGCAATAATGAGCAAGTCAAAGAAAAGTGGGGTCAACTGGGAGCGAGGCTCTGCCCCAGGTCGCGCAGGGTGTGGTGTCGGGGGACGTGATTAGAGGTCAAGAATTTTATTGCAATACCAGGTAGTCAGACAGGCCAGTCCCCAGGAGTCGACCTGCAAAGTACTCCGCGTTTCCGTCCCCGCCCCCATGTCCCCCACCGCCCACACAGCGGAGGCGACTCTGGGAAGCATTACCATGGCCTGGTGGCTTCACACGCTCCGGGGAAACGCATTTACTAATCTTCCCTTACAGACCTTTCAGCCTTTGAACAGTGCCTTAGGTGGCTGGACTCAGGGAACTGGCCCACATTTCAGAGCACAATTTCATCCCACTGAATCGGACTCCTGCTTCCTGATTTTTGGTTGTGTGGTAGTTTTTAAATGCTAAATCATAATATAAAATGTTATCTAGCGTATGCAGTCTTACATGTAATGTGGGTTAAACTGATTTGGGGTTAGAGTGCAGATTGTGGGGTGTCAAATATCTAGCTCTGGGACCCCATGGGGACACTTAACCTGAGCTCCAAACTTCCGGGAATATTATTCTATGCAGTGCAGGATTGCTGATGATTGCTTGGTAGCATTGAGCTGTTCTGGTGCTAATAGTTCAAGCAATGAGAACATTTAGTAAAACTGTGTTTCTTTGTTAAACAGAAGCACATTTGTTATTTGTTGCCTTGTAATTCATGGCCCATGAAGAAAAAGTAAAATGATCCAAGATTATGGATGAATATAAAAGCTAATTACACATCCATGCATTTCTATCCGTTTCTCCCCTCTCCCCAACCCCAACAGATCAGGGAAGACGCTGGCACAATTTAAAAACAGAGGTGAAAGTTCCTTGAAGGCAGAAAATTTTATCTATCAGACTTTCTCAGGAAGGGGATTCAGAGTAAGGAAGACCTTAACTTCAAATCCCATCTTTGATGTGGGGTTCTGTGATGTGGGATGTGTGTGTGATCCTGGAAGCATATTTCCAGACTCTTCCTAAACCTTGTTTCTTAGCTGATAAGTGAAGAAAATCCCTGCTTTGCCAAGTTATGATGATAGGATATGTTAAGTTAAGAGATTAATGTAGTGCCTAAACTCAGCTCTTAACAAGTGGTTCCTACTGTAACCCACTGGTTCCTGAAACAACTTGCGGGTAATCAAAAAACAATAGTACCCTTCTGGCTTTCCATTCTTTTTATTATTCTTGATAAGCATTACCTAAAATTTCAGCCTGTGTTCACTTACTTGACTTACTCCAGCTTTCTAATGTCCAGTCACTGACTCATGGACTGAATTATTCTGTGTGCCCATGGATACACCCCAAACCTTCACTTGTAACCAGAATTCCTTTCTGAGTTCCAGGCCTGAATTATGGCAACCAGCCATCTAGTACTGATTCATAAGCAACAGATTCTGCGATCCAGTTTTGCAAACATGCTGTGGCGCCAATCAATTGAATAATATTTGGTAATCAATTTAAATGTTAACTTCTATTTTAAGCCTAAAATGTATGGATCAAAAGATGACATATGTCCAGGTTCCAACATCCTAAGACAAACCTTATCCAATCTCTACCTATTATGTTATCAGCTATGCAAGAAAACATAGCAAAGAACTTCAGAGGTTGTAGTTTTACTTGAGTCAATGTGAGTTAGCAGCTACGTTGTTGCCAGTGTCTTCTGATAGTTCCTAGAACAAGGATTTAGTACCTTCATTATTCTCTTATAAATGGTTCTCAAGCTTTTTTAGTGTAAAGAACCTCTATATATTCTTCTGTCAACTTCATAAAAACTTGTTTATATGGGTGGTGGCTCTCAATATTTACCATTTAGAAATAAAAGGCAACTGAAAATGTATAAAAATATTAATTCATCTACAATAAACACAATGACTTGTTAATAACATTTTTGTGAAATGTGGCATTGTTTTCCATTTTTGTAAATCTCTATTATCTGACTTAATAGAAGACAGCTGCTTCATCATTCAATTGTTTTGATTGAAGTATTAAAAAATCTGTCTTCAAACATATGTAAGTGGGATATGGAGAAGCATTTTAATAGTCTTTTTAGATATTCTTTGATATTATGTCAAAACTTAAAAGATAATTTTAAATTACTGTGAAAGTTAAATTGCAGTGTTGAATCTAAAGCAATTCGAATGAACTTTGAGTACCCTGTTATATTAGAATCTGTTGGCTTATCTTACACTGTAAATGCCATCTTTTACAACCATTTATGAGTTTGTAATATGTATTGATCATTTGGAAAATATTGGTTCACTGAGTTATGCAGATTTCCAAATGTTGACATATTTCATTATTCCATAGTTTAAAAAAATCAGAACCACCAATCTCAAACAAAAAGTCTTCAAATATTGGGAAGCTGCCATGGTCATAGTGGCAAAGTTTTCCAAAATTCTTATTTTTTTCTTGAAAGCTCAGATATTTTCATTAGAACTGTTTTATTGTAGTGACAAGTTCACTTCACTCATTATTCAAAAGAAGAAAATGTCCTCCAGATATTTAAGTTTGAATAATGAAAGTTTGTCTATAAGTTATTCTCTCAAGTGTTAAAAAAACAAAATTCGTTTAAGTAAACTTGAAGATCCAGTTGGCTTTATTAAGTGATTCATGAGTTGGCAGCATCCCCTCTAGCGAGGAGAGAGATGCTGCAAGGAATTGAACAAATGGAAGGTTTTTATAGACAGGAGGAGGGTGTGCGTTGGGGGGCCGGTTACTAGCCAAAGAAAAGAAGGGATTGTTTCAGGCAAAGTCACTTTCTCAGGGGGAAGTGCAGGGAGTCTTACGAGGTAGATGACTTCATCTTTCAGGGAAGATGGAGAAGGCTCATGTGACAGATTATTTTATGGATGATGCCTGCCAACCAGAAAATACCTGACCAGCTGCATTTCTGGGGGAGGTTGAAACTGTAATGGAGTTTTAAGAATTAAACCCTGGTTTGGTGACTTGGCCCAGCAGAGGTGACACCTGGCTGGCCCTGTGTGTTTCTTTTTAACACAGGTAAAAGTGATATTCCATGATAAAAGTAGTCGGCTCAGCTCATGACACAGTCCCATGAAAGCTTTTCCCCCAAACAACCATGGTAGCTTGGTCTACAGCAAGCCATGTACTTTCCATTTCTTCACACAGACTATTAAAAAGACATATACTCAAGGGTTGACATTTAATTTTTGCTGCTTTATCAAGGACTTTTGTAAGTGCAATTTGCTTTTTATTTCCCTGTGGGTGCATGGGGATAAAGAAAATAGAGACTGATAGGACAGTTTCATGGCACAGTCTTGTTTCATGCTAAAGTATACTAGCAGCTTTATTCACCATTGTTTTTGTACCATCAGTGTAAATGTCAACAAAGAGAGAGATGCAAATAATTTCTTAGTATTTTTATAAAAATACCATTCATCATTGCTGATCCCCTGAAAAGATCTTGGGGTCTCCAAGGGTCTTCAAGACACACTTTGAAGAATACTGGTTTATATTAAGCACACCAAGTGCAGTAGTGTACAAACGGGGGTATTTTACTTTCAGAAGAACATAGACACGCTGTTGCAC